TAAATGTGTCTCTTGCAAGAAAACAATATCACACTGTAATCGCCTCAGCTCATGTAACAGTTGATGCCTTTTAATTGGTATATTGAGACCCCTGATATTATATGTCAACATATTAATATTGGCCATTAGCATTCAGAGCCGTGCTATGTTTTTTATCTATCACATTAGTGCCGGATATTCCCTCAAACATATATAAAAACAAAACAGAAATAATACAAAAAGGATTTAAAAATAGTAGGTCTCAATTTCTGTGTTCATCAGGCCCTGTTTAAAAATAGAGACTTTTCATTCACCCGACCTTTCTGTTGTGTATTGTTCCCCACTAGCGTCCAATCACTGTTCAGCAGTGGATCCCCGTCCACTATTGCTTCTTGCCAGTCCGTTAATCGGGGGGCAGCGATGGATAGGCTTTCCCAAAAATGTTGAAGTTCTTCCGGGAACTGCTGCTCACATCAGACGGTCTCAGCAGCCATTAGACTCCGGACACGCCCCCCCTCGTCATCCGATCACCTGACCATCTCCTCCCAGTGTTTCAGGAGTTCAATCTTAAACCAAGATGGAGGAGGTTGACGTGTTGGAGTCGACGCCTAAGGTAGATACAGCCTTACAGAGACTGGCCTGTCACATTGTGTTGCCGCTGGATGATTCGGTCTCCTTTCGAGACTTGATGGACAGGAAATTGGAGTCGGATTTAAAGTGAGCCTTTTTGCTGTCGGGTGCAGCTTGCAGGTCAGCAGTGTCCTTGACCTCAGTCTCCCGTGCGATGCAGTCCTGGCTGTCACGATTAGAAGATTCCTGTGATCCGGAGGTGGTGTCAAACCTTTCCAGCCTATTTGGCAATCTCCGGCTTGCGGCGGATTTTGTGGTGGAGGCTGCAGTGGATCAAATTAAGTTGGATGCCCGAGTCATGTTGCATGCGGTCATGGCTAGGAGAGCCTTGTGGCTCAGACAGTGGTCGGCAGATTTAGCTTCTAAACAGAGACTCTGTTCCATTCCTTTTTCTGGAGAGATTCTTTTTGGGAAGACTCTGGAAGAGGCGATTAAGCGGGTGTCTGGTGATAAGTCGGGTCTAATGCCCCAGGACAGGAGACGTCAACGTCAGCCCTACTGTTCAGGAAAATAGGATAGGTTCAAAGAGGCAAAAGCCTACAGGCCGGGAAGATATTTTTTTCAGCCTTTATAGAGATCAGGTCAGAGTTCGTTCTCCAAGTCTGTCTACAAGGGGAAAAGCTCAGGCGGGCCCCAAGCAGGCGGGTAAATCCTTCTGAAATTTTGCCCGGTCGGTCGGTTCCAGTGGGGGCAAGGCTGTTGCTGTTCGAACCGATTTGGGCGAACTACGTCTGCGACAAATGGATTATCGACATCATCAGCAGAGGCTATCAAATAGAATTTTCCAAGAGGCCCCCTTTGTCTCATTGGGTAGAGACCAAGATTCCAGCCTCTCGGGAAAGAATGCTCTGTTTGCAGACCTATATCGATGTATGCTATCCACTTTGATCTGATCTCTGGGGGAGTTGTTCAGATACATATTAAAAATATATAATAATTTAACTATATTTATTTAAATGCATATAGTAAGAGGAAATGTCTATGTTTGATATGCTGTCCAGATGGAAGTTTGTTTGTGTTTTAATATGTAAAAACTTCACATAAAGAATGGAAAAAAAAATTAACATACTAATGTTATGTAATGTTATGTACCACATACATTTTTAATGTACCGATGACCATGTGCCTATCCTTTTTTTTCTCAATAAAATGTCAAAGAATGTCAAAGTAAAGCCAGAACTGATGATCTGCATAATTATTTCATGTCAGTGGCTCACAAACCATTGAAGCCACTGGATCAGCATGACAACCATGCAACTAGCATTGTCATATGTAAACCTCAGGAATGGCTGCCTTTGTATTCTCTCAGTACAGGTTTCTTGTAGCCTTATTAATGTCTCTATACTAGGACTAACAGTGATTAGTTTAGAAATTATGTCAGAGGAGCCTCTAACACCTTAAATCACATGTGTCAAACTCAAGGCCCAGGGGCCAAATCCGGCCCACCAGGCCATTTCCTAGACTTCTACTTTCAGATCTAGGTATTAAGTTATTACTAAAACCAGTGATAATCGAATGCAGGGGCAATTATGATAAAGATTAGATACATTTATATAGTCTTACAGGCTCTTTGAGGGCAACCATAATGTTGATGCAGCCCACTATTACATTGAGTTTGACACCCCTGCCTTAACCACTTTAAGACCAGGTGTTTAAACCGCCTTCCTGGCCAGCCAATTTTTCAGTATTCAGCGCTGCGGTAGTTTGAATTACATTTATTCCGTCATGCAACGCTGTACTGAAATACATTTTATACCATTTTTTTGGGGACAGATAGAGCTTTCTTTTGGTGGTATTTAATCACCACTGTGGGTTTTATTTTTTACTATATTAAGGAAAAATTATTGAAAATTTTGAAAAAAATAAAGTTTCCCCCCCCCATTATATTAGGAAACAATGATTATTACCCATATTTTTGGTAAAATATAAAAGACGGGGTCACGTCGGGTAAATAGACACCAAACATGCCAAGCTTTAAAATTGTGCGCACCAGCGAAATCGCTAAAAGCTACCATACCCAAAATTGGCCATAATGTGTGACGCTTTAAAAGCTTTTACCGCTCATCAGTTTAATGTTATCAGTGATTGATAGCACTAGAATTATTGCTCTCATTCCAACGTTTGCGACGATATGTAAGTGCGGCGTAATGGGCACATTCGTCGTTTTCGCACATATGCGCACCCAACGCCTGTTCGCATGCATGTATGTATGGGGGGGGACTTTGTAAAAAAAAATGTTTTTTTAATTCTTTTTTATGTGTAACTTTAAATTTTGGGGGCGGAACTTTAATTTTTTTTCCACTTAACTTTATTGCTATCCCATAGGGGGCTAAGAAACCCTTATGTGATAGAAAAAGAAGTGACAGGTCCTCTCTATGGAGACATCAGGGGTCTCCAAGACCCCTAATGTCACCTAGGACCCCCCTGAAGAAGCTGATGAAGCAGAGATCTGCTTCATCAGCTTCTCCCCAGAATCTGAAGCTGGAGAGTGACACAAGAATGCGGAAGTGATGTGATATACATCAGTTCTGCATTCTGACAGCGGAGAGGGGACCGGAGGGAGTTCGTGTACGGATCTCCCTCTGATCCCCTGTCAGAGTGGCACTATGCTGGTCCCGGAGCCCGGGACCAGCGTGACAGCGGGATTGGGGGAGTCGCGGAGGGGGGAGCCGCGGAGGGGGCGCACATGCCGTGACCTCATACGAGAGATCCGCCGGCTCTTTAGGCGGCGGATCGCTTGTATGTTAAGAGGCACCGCTGCCTGTTTTTAAAAATCGGACATTTCCCGCTCGCCCACTCAGATCTAGAAAGCTCATGGCCGGCCGTTTTTGTTTACAACGGCCGGCCGGGAAGTGGTTAAACAAACAGTATTTATAAAAATCATCTATTCTTAATATATCTAGGTCATGGACAGGCAACCTCAGCACTCCAGCTGTGGTGAATTTTTAAATCCTATGAGGCATTGCAAGACTCCCAGAAGCAGAGGAGCGCTGAAGTTGCCTGTCCATGACCTAGGGATACCAAGCATGTCTACATACAGTATCTACCACATTGATTTAAGTGGGTATCTGGAATGTACACTGCATACACAGATTGCACAGAAGCGAAGAACATACACATCACAGGAATCATAGTGTCCCTTCTGTTAAGATCTTCTCTTTTACACAAAACATTTTTCTAGACATGGCTTACAATTTGTGATACTATGAATGGCCTTTATATGAGAAGACTATTTGTACTAATAATGGGGAACAAAATGAGAGGAAAATTAATACACAGGGAAAAGCAACTTCTTTGCCTCTGCCCCTTTAGGCATGTGCCTACTGTGAATAATGAAATATGGCCCTACACAGTACAGAACCTACACGGCATATACAGTACAGCACAGAGTACATAGCATATACTGCATAACACTTAGCATACATTGCACAAAACACACACCACACACAGAACACAGCATACACAACTACATAATGCATTGTGTATACAGTACAGGGTGCTCAGAGTACAGAATGCATGTGCACTAAAAAAAATACAGTGCAGTAACATTTATTCTTTCTAAATACAACAGCTGTTAGCACAGATTGCATTATTCATTAAAGTAAACCTGTCATGATTGCATGATGAGCCATACTCATACAGCAATCTTTAATAGGTGTGATAAAATCACTATACTAGGGCCTGTGTGTTACTGACTAAATGGCCATGTTAAAAAATTATTTGGGTAAGCACAATCATCCACAGGGAATGTGTAGCATATATGGAGCCATAACATCTAGCTAATCAAATAGGGCTTTAAGTCTCTTTTGCAGCAACAGATTTAGAAGGTCAATCTTCATGTTTCAGAAGCTTTGCAATGTGCAAGTCACATAACCAATTATATTTGTGGTCAGGCATATATATACCGTATAATAAATATAGCGTGGGCTGAGTTGTGCCAATAAGCTAATATGGCCTGAGGTGTGCCCGTGGCTACGCTGTTAGGTACGCCTAAAAGGGGGCATAGTATGGCATACCAAATAAAAAGGTGATGGAATTTTAAGTTATGAAGAGGGATGGGTAGGTGGGGACAAACGCTTCCCCTACAATGTCAGGCAGGAAAGGGAAGAGGAGTTTAAATAGCCATAATCCCCTCCCACAAATACAGGTTAATAAATTAACCTTCGTACTTGTGGTCGGGCATATATACCGTATAATAGATATAGTGTGGGCTGAGTTGTGCCAATAAGCTAATATGGCCTGAGGTGTGCGCGTGGCCACGCTGTTAGATATGCCTAAAAGGGGGCAAAACTATACAGATAGATTAGTATTTGAGTAATTTGAGTAACATAACTAAGCAATACTATTCCAATTTGGCCCACTTTGCTAGATATAGCATATTATTAACTTACTGAAAGACGCATTCTGGAATATGTACATTTTCCATAGGAATAATTTGCTCTAGTTCTTCCAGGCTATGCACATACTGAATCTTGTTGATAAACTTCACACTGAATAACAGAAAGAAAATACAGAGTATGAGCAATAACAAATCAATGTAACCAGACTTTAAAAAAAGAACACTAATAAGAGTGTGACACAAATGCTTACCATGCTTTCTAAGGGTTATTTTTTCACCATGATTGTTTTAAAATGGTGATTCTCTGTAAAGTTGCCTCTTCTCTTATACATGCATTTCAGTATTGCAGATATAAAAACAGCCTGAAGGGCCAAATTCACATGCACTGTGTTCAGTGGTGTATTTTGGTTTGGGGCTGCCCTAGGCAAGCCAAAACTCGGGCAAAACTCCCCCCCCCCACCACCCACACACACACGCAAACACACTAAATTTGCCCCAGCCCTTCCTGTTTAAGACTTTTTGCGTAACCTGTCAGTCGCTGGATAAAGCACAAATGCTGTATCCAGCTTTAGACATGTTCCGCTATTTGCCAAGGAGGAAAGCTGGGGTCTCAGCAGGGTCTCAGGTGGGTTTTGCAAGATCTATGGTTGGCTCTGCAGGGTCTCAGGTTGGCTGTGCAGGATCTGCAGGATCTGTGGTGGGCTCTACGGTGTCTATGGTGGGCTGTGAAGGATCACTGGTGGGTTCTGCAGGCACCCGGCAGAGCCCACCATAGACCCGGCAGAGCCCACCATAGACGCCGCAGAGCCCACCATAGACCCCGCAGAGCCTACCATAGACCCCGCAGAGCCTTCCATAGACTCCACCACAGATCCTGCAAAGCCCCCGTGAGACCCTGCAGAGCCCAACACAGATCCTGCACAGCACTCTGAGACCCTGGAGAGCCCACCATAGAGCCCACCTGAGACTCTCAGATGGGCTGTGCAGAATCTATGCTGGGCTCTGCAGGGTCCCTTTACCAGCACAATGTGATCCTCTTACCTGCAGCTCCCCAGCCTGCCTCCTGACGACATCTGCTGTCAGCTTGAGCAGCCTACTGCTGGACCACCACCGGACCGACACTTCGGGGACCCGGGCTCCTCCACTGCCTTACAGACACTTTGGGGACCGGCCTGTTCTATCAAAGTTTGTGACTACGTTAGAATGTGTGACCAGTCACGTGGTCACACATTTTTATGCAATCCCGCCCAGTTTTACAGCGGCGGAATGTGCAACTGGTCACACATTTCAACGTAATCCCATTCATTTTATCTGTGGTGGAATGTGTGACTGTCAATAGCATTCCAACGTTCCAAGGCAGATCGGTTGTCTTGCACATATGATCTGCGATGCCAATCTGCTCTGTAACAGCTGAGAAATCATTGGAATGCTTGACCTATTGACGGTCACACATTCCACCGCCGAAAAACTGGGCGGGACTACATTAAAATGTGTCACCACGTGATCGGTCACACATTCCAACCTAGTCACAAACTTTGATAGAACACGCCCTTCTCTGACGCCCATCTGGCGCTTAGGGAACCCGGCTTCTTCTGCCAAGTCGTCGTCCCCGTCCTCCTAAGCTGCCCAACCTAAGCTGCAGGGACCCCGCCTCCTCACTGCCTCCTCTTCCCCGCCTCCTCCTTGACAGACCACCCCCCACAAATCTTCGCTCGCACAGCCACAGATCCCTCCATACTGCACAGGTATAGATCCTGTTATGAGTGTTATGTTTAGTTTATATGCAACTCTATGAATCATCTCTGTGGTATTTGTTTCCTGTGGTCACCCGCAGTGGTAGACATTCACAACCACCCAAAAGACTTAACCTGTAAATATATGTTATCACAAGGATTCATCCACATGTCACAGTGATCATGTATTAAGAGGGAGATGTTATGAGTGTTATGTTTAGTTTATATGCAACTCTATGATTCATCTCTGTGGCACTTGTTTCCTGTGATGCGTTTCCTGTTCCTGTTCTGTGGGTTCTCTTCTAAGAACATGACTTCTGTACACTAACGGCTTATACTGTCATTATTAGCACATAAAACAGATCCCTCCATCCTGCACAGCCATCATGGCCCCGACCGGCGATTAGGGGAACCGACTTCCTTTGCCCCCCTCCTTGCCTCCTCCTCCCAAGTCGCCCGATCAAAGCTGCGGGGACCTGGACCCACCTCCTCCTCACTGTCCCCTCGCCACCGCCTTCTCCTCACTTCCCCATTGCCGCCGCCTCCTGCTCACATCCCCTTGCTGCCTCCTCCTGGCCGCCTCTTCCTCGCCTCCTGGTCTCCGCCTCCTCTGTTACTTCATGAGGCAGCCGAGGCTGCCGGATTTTGTGCAGCCCGACTCGCCTCACTGTTTTGGGGTCGGCATTTTCCCCTTGTTTGTCATGTGGATGATACGGGAAACCGCACAATCGGGGTGCCATTAGAAAATAATGGCACTCACAGCACGATCGTTGGTGATGGGCGACTCCGTGACCGTGCTGCAATCCGCACAGTATCGTACAAGATTGCTGCGCGGACACAGATCGCCCAGGTGTGAACCTGGCCTGATAGCTGTTACACTGTTATGTATACAGTAGCAAAACACAATGTGCAACAGAGGGGACAGCACAAGGTGTAAACGATATGAGGTAAGTTATTTTAAGGAATACAAAAGTTGAAAAAAAATTTAATAAAAAGGGGAAAAAAGGGAATTAAAGCTAAATTAGTGTAAACCAGGGATATTAAGCTGGTCTTCAGCTTAGAAACCAACATTTCCTTAACTTAGAGATTTCAATGTGGCAATGAACCCTCCCATCCACACATTAGATAAGAAATCCTCTTTACCATACTAGACGTTGAGGATTTTGAACTGAGTCTCTGCGACACATAGCGGACTTTACATCCAGACGTTAGGGATTTTACATTTTATTCTCACTTACATTCCAAGTAGGGATGGGCTCAATGTTCGAGTCGAGCGTGAGTTCGACTCGAACATTGGCAGTTTGTGTGTTCGGCGAACACACAAACTGTCAGGGTGTTCGGCAGCCTGTTCGACCGCCGAGCATCCCGCAAAGCAATGTGCACCGCACAGTGCCTTGTGAGCCCTGATGGACTAAAGCCTTGCACCTGACCACAGGTTAGGTGCAGGACTGTGCCCAATCAGGGCCCAGTACTCTGTAAAGGTGCCCATACACCTACCGATTATCGTACTATAATCACGGGTGATCATCGGCAGGTGTATGGGCAGCGTGCGACCGCATCCACAGTAGATGCGGTTGCACGACTTTCATCTTCCTAGCACGCTGGAAAACCCACCGAAAATCGTACGATTTTCGCCGGGTTGCTAGCATGCTCGGAAGACGAAAGCTGCACAGGCCGGTGTGCGCAAGCGCACACTGCCCGCTCAGCATTGCGATCATCTGCAAGCCCTCCCCTCAGCGGGAAGGGCTTGCGATGATCACAAGTACGATCTGCCTGTCGAAGATGAGCAGGTCGTACGAAATTTTAATGACCTTACAACCATCGCACAACGAAAGTCGTGCGATGGTTGTAAGGTGTATGGCCGCCTCCTCCTCCCAAGTCGCCCGATCAAAGCTGCGCGGACCTGGACCCGCCTCCTCCTCACTGTCCCCTCGCCACCGCCTTCTCCTCACTTCCCCATTGCCGCCGCCTCCTGCTCACATCCCCTTGCTGCCTCCTCCTGGCCGCCTCTTCCTCGCCTCCTGGTCTCCGCCTCCTCTGTTACTTCATGAGGCAGCCGAGGCTGCCGGATTTTGTGCAGCCCGACTCGCCTCACTGTTTTGGGTTCGGCATTTTCCACTTGTTTGTCATGTGGCTGATACAGGAAACCGCACAATCGGGGTGCCATTAGAAAATAATGGCACTCACAGCACGATCGTTGGTGATGGGCGACTCCGTGACCGTGCTGCAATCCGCACAGTATCGTACAAGATTGCTGCGCGGACACAGATCGCCCAGGTGTGAACCTGGCCTGATAGCTGTTACACTGTTTATGTATACAGTAGCAAAACACACTGTCGCAATCGCAAATAGCTGCCATAGCCAAAATTGGTCATAAGCGACGTTTACATTTTTTTTTTTACTGTTCATCAGTTTAGTATTATCAGTGATTGATGACCCTAAAATTATTGCTCTCACTGCGACATTCGCGGCGATATGTAACATGTACGGTGTAATTGGAGCAATCGTCGTGTTTGCGTGTAGGCGCACCTAACTTTTTTTTGTGCATCTATGTTGTGGTTTTTTTTTAGTGTGTGTGTAAATTTTATTTATTTTGTGACCAATTTTTATAATTTACTTTTTTTTTTTTTTTACACTTAACTTAACCCTATGTGATAACAAATTACAGTGACAGGTCCCCTTTATGGAGACATCAGGGGTCTATAAAGACCCCTAATGTCACCTAGGGACCCCCAGGGAAGCTGATGAAGCACACATCTGCTTCATCAGCTTCTCTCTGGTTACTATACCGGAGAATTACAGAGGGATGCGAAGTGATGTAATATACATCACTTCCTGCATTCAGAGACCGGGGAGGAGAGCGGAGGGACATCGTGTACTGATCTCCCTCGGTTCTCAGTGCACAGAGTCACATCGCCCGGGATGGACGCCCGGGATCGCGGGACGGCAGCGACGGCGAGGAGAGGTAAGGGGGAGGGGGACCCGGACTTGCATCATACAAGCGATCAGGCATCTGTAGAGACACCAGACCACTTGTATGTAAACGGCCATCGCTGGCCGTTTAAAATCCTGGCGGTTTCCCGCGCGGGCACGAAGGGCGTCTAAAGATGCCCACCCGCATCCAGGAGATTCCCGTCCGGCCGTCTTTCAACGTTCGGCGGACAGGAGGTGGTTAAAGCTATGAGTTCACCCAATAAAAGGAGGAATTGTTATTCTGATACCTTTAGCATGCCAGTGTGATTCCTCAGTGTGCATGCACACTAAACGGGCTAAACTTTCCTTTCTTTGATACAACAACCTGTCGAAGACAAGATAAAATGGGAGAAGGAGCTGGACATGGTGATTTTGGACGAGACTGGAAGGGGTATGTCTGGGGGCACACAAATGCTTACATGTTGGTATCGGCCCCTTGTACACCTTCATAAAATTGATTCCAATTTATCCAAGGTCTGTTGGAGATGTAGATCTGAACTGGGCTCCTTGACACACATTTTTTGGTCCTGTGTTTTGCTCCAACCCTTTTGGAGACTCATACAGGACCTGATTCGCCAAATCTCAATGTAGTGCAATTTATCTTTGCAGTTTATTTGCTACATCCCAGATAGCAAGCAATTGAGCTGCAAGTTTGAAAATGACTTGCTAAACTATTGCAGACTTGCCAAGCTTCACAATTTTGTTGCACAATTACAGCAAGTCTGCATTGCAAGTCTCCAGACCAGCGAGCTTGCAGAGCTCTTGCTAAGACCTGCAGGACTCTTGCTGTAGACTTGCCAAGCAAATTTGCTACAAATTCAAAAAGTGTCAACTAGAACTTGTGATGCAAGTGTTCTGCAATTCTAAAACTTGCAGGAATATGTGCAGCAAGTTAACAAAAATTACAATTTCACCCTGCCACAAGTTTGTAGCAAGTTATCCTTGCTATCTGGGATGTAATGAACGAATACCACCTCATTAAGGATAGTGAGGTGGAAACAAGAGGGTAAACTTCAACCAATATTAGTAGTAAATAACCCAATGGCTTACTTTATTGATGTAGAAAAAGTTATTTAGATATGTAGAAAAAGTACAAAGACGGCACCATCGTGACGGATAATCCCTGATAAAAATTCGGCAACTTTGTCAAACAATACAATCATTAAAAAACACTGGAACAACACCATATTTTGACCCCTCTATTATTTCACTCATAGCCACTGCTTATAATAATATTATCAAGCTCCACCAATAATGTCCATTCCGTTGGTATATTGTAGGTGCATATGCAGAGATTAGAGCAATTTATAGCTAGTTAGTAAAAAGACACTAAACTGGTTTTCTCCTTACAGATATCGCCAAAGAGGCTGCTTTCTTTTACTGCACAGTTATAGCTGTTTTGTATGTCAAGTTCTGTGTAGAAACAAGGTTTCATTTAAAAAAAACATCAACAGATTCCAGCACTTAAAGAGTTTGTGAGGAGAACAGTGTATCAAAGTAACTAGATCATCCAGGACACAGCCGTATTCAGTATATAAATTGATACAAACGGGAGAGAGTGATCTTACTGTTTTCCGCAGACACACACATCACATTCCGTACTCAGCAGCTTGTTTTAGACACCCCTCAGCGATATGCTTATTCAGGGTATAGCCGCTCCTTATCACTGCACGGTGGCGCTGTATCCGGTGATGCACTCCCAAATAATCTCCTGTCTCACCGACCGGCTTTTTCTAGGTATATGTAGGAGCTTGCACCTACTGTCTCCAATTTGAAGGCACAATTCAGTAGTCCATGTAGATTTCTCGCTGGTTAGATCATAAGCAGAGGCAATCTATGTTTGCATGGGTCGTGGTGTCGGGTCAGTTCCCCATACCCGTTAACGCATTTCGCCCCGCCTCCTCCAGGGCTTCGTCAGAACATTCACCACGACCCATGCGAACATAGAACATCAGTGTTCTTGAGATGGTTGGCAAATTAGTTGGCCGTTACAGGCTAGAATGTGGCATTTCCCAGCACATGCAAAATTTTATTTACAGTAGGTCTTAGGTCAGGTAATGCCCTACTCCTCCAAACCACCAACTCCAGGTAAAAGACTCCTGGACCACACATCGACTTAGATAATTATGCAGTATGATCTTATGATTAGACAACCCACCCAGAAGATACATACTGCATCTTAATTGTCTGATTCTAACAGGGAGTACCTGAACCTGATCTTTCTTTTGGGCTGGAAATGTTTTGCAAATTTTGGGCAGTAAAAAGTTACAGTGCCATACTTGATATATAACGATTCATGTACTTTACAATGGTCAATGAGCTGAGGCATATGTTTACCTAACAGCTCTTGGAATCCAAGTACTAGGGGGTTATTTCACTAAGCTGCCAAAGGCAGCCGAGTGATTAACCGAGCCGAAGTGAAGTGAGCCAAACGCAGAAAAATTCACTTTAGCCATGCACAGCTGAAACGTAGTTAAAATCAGCCGTACATGGCCGGCTTTGGCTGCCTTCGGTCAGCCAAACATGCTCTGCATGTTTGGCTGAGCCAAAGTGAAGAAGCCGTTCGACTTAGCTGATCCAACATCCAGCCAAGGTCCAGCCGAACCACCTGCAGTTCACTCGCTGCCATTCCCCCTATTCTCATTCGGCTGGGTATCCTGCTCGCTACCTCCGAGGTAGCGAGCAGAATTTAAAAAAAAAAAAAGAATAAGAAAGAAAAAAAAAAATTGAAAAAGTTACACCTTTAATAAAGGGGCACCCAGATGCCCCCCCCTTGTGAATGAGTAAGGGGTACCCCTACCCATTCACTAAAGGCTTAAATAAAAATATAAATAAAAACAAAAAAGGATTAGCCGATGCTTTGGCTTAAACCTTCGGCTCCTTTTTGAATAACCCTCTAGGTGTTTTGGTGCACAACATAAATGTCATGTACTGCCATCAATGATTTAGATCAAGTTTTTTTCTTTGTTTCAGGTGTACTTTAAATATCTTCTTGTAGCAAGAGATTTAAATCTCCTTTAGTAGAAAATATCTAAACTTACTGTAAATTATGATCATAAAATCTTAATTAAATATTTACTGTACTATAACAAACTAATGACAGATAGTTTTTATGACTATATTGTTTACAGGAATCACAAATTTCCTGTAAAGTTAAAAATATTGGTTTTCTCATTTAGTGTAACAAATCTGTAAATGGGTTATGAAGCACAGAAAAATGTATATGGGTAGCAACAAGGGATCATGCAAGGTTTCTTTAGCTGCTAACCTTATAAATGGTCTGGAGATTGCCAAAACTGTCCTGATAAACCAGGATGGGTGGACAATAATTAAAGATTTCAGATTTTTTCTTAGCCTGTAGGGAAAAAAAACAAAAAACTTTTAGTTGGACTCCTTGTTATCCACAAAATCAAAATGCAAACAGATTGTTTTTTATTAGGCTTGCCAAATATGCACAAATAATTTTAATAACATAGAGAGCAATAATTAAAAATTTTAATTTTTAGTGCACATCTAGTGCTAAAAACACATATACTTGGCCACTAAAAAGATAGGTCTTGTTTTCTTTTGGTTACCTCCTTCTGGTGAGGGTAGCTCACAGTGTTTCTAAATCTTGTTATATCTTTTTTTTACATTTACTTAACTTAAATGCTGCTTTGGGCCACCTATGACTTAATTCAGTAAATCTTGGTAAACTGTAGCAATCAATGTGAATATATATATGTGTGGAATTTGACAGGGTCCTGAAATGGCTGCAGGATCTCCTGAAGGCATTGGACACAATTAATTATTAGGGTGGCCTGAGACCACGAAGACTCAGGTCGCCTTATAATGAGAAAAGTAGCCCTTAGAAACTCTGGCTATGTCATTGCATAATGGATTGAACTGAGTCCCACAATGCTTTCCCCATTAAAGGAGCTTTCCAGAACAGGTACCTAGGAAAGACAGGAGGAGTTATGTGTAAAGGGTTTATTACACATACCTCTGTATTGTCCTTTCCTTGATTTCCTTTCCATCCATGATCTCTGAAAACGAAACATAAAGCACACCGGGATAATTAACTCTGAGCTTTCAGACCGTGTGCTCTCTGCTTTCTTCTTCTGCCTGTGCCTTGTGACTCTGTTGGTGCCGACTTAAAACTGTGATGCCACCCTAACCAATGGGCATTAGCTCAAATTTTTATAGGAATATGACTGCCTGTAGCTTATATTTCCACGTTCTACCCAACCAATCCTTGCACATAGCACTTTGTCCCACATTTGTGAAGTGGTTGTTGAGCAAGCGTGGTTGACAGCATGCCCCTCCCCCCACAGCTGTTCAACTTCGCTGCTTACAAGGAGACAAATATAAAATTAGTTTTGACTGACGAAGAGAGGGGATGTGACAGACAGTGCACGCAAAGGAGAACCCTCACACGCCCCACCTTTCTGAAAGCTGCCTGGACAAAACTTTCTAAGATCTTCAGCTCTGACACCTAATTTTGCAGCCCCATCCTTCTCCTGCTATAATCCTCTGCCATCTTCCATGTACTAAAAACACTTCTTTGTACTGAAAGGAAAGACTGAGTTTAGACCCACCCACCAGCCGCCAACTAGCTGGTGACTTGTGTTGTTCTGAATGATGGTGCACGACACAGCAGCTACTATTCTAGTCTTTCTCGGGCAAATACTGTAAAAAGACTGGTCACCTGAAAAGGGACTGTTTGATCTGGAAAGCCAAGCAGCGAAAGCGAGAGGCACCTACAAGAGAAAGAGCTAAGGCAGCTACAAAGGAAACTGCAAGCACATCTTTGCAGGCAGCTAAAAAGTAAACTGCAGCACTACCTTTAAAGTTACTCAGAACAATAGACCACATGGATGGTGTGTTGACTCAAGCGCAACAAGCCACATGACTAGTGATGAGACCTTCTTCACAGAAATTGATTTCAGTACAAAGGACAAAGTCTTCCTAGTAAATGGGAAAAGTATTACATCAGAAGGTAATGGTCAATGATTCTTGAACTGCATCACACCGTCAGGGACAAGCAGAGTATCCTCGTGAAAAAGGTACTGGATGTCCCAGACCTAGAAAGAAGCCTTCTATCAGTGAAAACCCTTGCTAATAACGTTCTCACAGTTCCTTTCCGAGGTGATGAATGCACAATCCAAAACAATAATCCAATTTTCCTTTTACGAGGATTTGCTTAATATCTGTACAGGTTCATAACCGCAGACGAACAAGTCAAGACAGCCACTCATAATCCACACAACAAATTTATCCATCCATGGCAGAGACGACTAGGGCACTGAAACCCAGAAGCCATAATCCTTTATCCTCTTCATCATAAAGAGAGGTTTATCAGAAGATATAATCGTACTGCACTGTAGAATGCTCATGACATGTAAAAGCTGGGTGGAAGCAAAGGTCACACGAACCTACTTCCACAGGCCACCCAAAGAGAACGCACCTGCCCCATGGAGCTGAACGACTTGTGCAGACCAATAAAAACTCCCACATCAGACGGGAACAGATATCTACTGACTTTCATTGATGATTATTCCAGGTACACAACCACTTATCTGATGAAGCACAAGAATAAAACATCAGAAAAACTTCAAGAATTTGTAGACATGTCCAGCAGCAAATTCCAAAGAAAACCAGGAATTATACACACCGACAATGGAGGGGAATACATCAGTAAGGAAGTGGAATCTTATCTGAAGAAACAGGGAATAGTACACCAGACCACCACAACATAAACAATTGAACAAAATGGTGTAGTGGGACGGAAAAATCGCACTCTTATAGAAATGGCCAGATGCATGTTGTCAGATTCCAACCTACCTAAGAAGTACTGGGAGAAGCAGTCATGACTGCAACATATCTGTAGAACAGAATACCATTAAAAGCCGTTGAAAGCACCCCATTTGAAATGTGGCATGGATCGAAATAGAAAGTAGTCTGATGGGCCACAGTGAACAAAGTAAGGGACATAGAATCCTACACTGACAAAGTGACAATAAGTCGCAGCATTTTTTTTTATGAGAACCCATCACCAGAAATAATGATTCTGGGAATTGTGAAGTGAATTTGCCCAGTAAACCAGCAAAGGAAGCTGAGCAAAGTGAAGCCGCACAGGAGTCAGGACAAGAGGTGGAACTCACAATAGATAAGTCAAATTCCATGTTAAATTCTGCTGAACAATCTGAAATTTAAAAATCCACTGGGGCGACAAAGGGAATACCATACTGCAAGCTGTCATCTACTGCTAAGACACATAGCATACTAGAACCAACATCGTGGGAAAACGTAAACAAATTACAAAAAAACGCGAAGGCAATCAATGGAGAGAGGCAGCAGAAGAAGAAATAAAATCATACCAAGAAAATAAAACCTGGACACTCACAGAGCTTCCCCACGATCACAGAACTATAGGAAGCAAATGGACTTCCAAGGTGAAGCTCGATGCAGAAGGAAATATCCAAAAATACAAAGCCAGATTAATTGCCAAAGGATCGTCACAGTTTCCTTCGAGAGAAGCTCGACGTCCTATATCAACGCATTTGCTATTGAGAAGGGGTGTTGAAAATACAACAGCATATACTGAAATACTAATGTTCTGATATGTCTTTTGAGCTGTAGATGGCGTTGTAGTGCAATTTCAGTCTCTATGTGCATGCTTATCTATGATGCACAGGAACTTTTCTTTTTCTTTCTGTTTTCTTTTCGCAATGCTGTATGCATACGTGTAATGTTCTTTTAAGCAAGTAAAACTTTATTCAGCATTCCTTTATATCTGAATGTTTCATCTAAACACATAACCAACAGAGGGGAGGGGGCATTAGTGTTGACTGTAGCTTCCCAACAGGAATGCCAAAAAATGTAACTTCAGCCTGCATTTAATCTATAAAAGATAGATAACAACATGTGAAAAAGAACCATGAGCTTCACCTGCTGGCTAAAAAATAGAAAATATTATGACATATATCTACTTAACAAAAATATTTAACATATTATTTTTTACTCCCGATGAATAAATAAAGACAGACAATATGTACAAATCACCTAGGTTCCCTCTAAGCATGGCTCCTTTTCCCAGTTTTTTGTGGTAAAATTAGGTACCTCGGCTTATATTAGGGACGGCTTATACTCGAGTATATACGGTATATGTACACACATTTCATCCAGTAAATGAAAATAGTCATCTAATCACAAACTAAACACACCTTCTATCAATCATCTGGTAGCATTTCTTCAGCCATCCTAAACCAGGCATTCTCCTTCGAGGTGTGGCACCATTTAAGTAAATAATCAAGTAATCCTCTGCCACCAGCAACTCCAGACTACTAATCACGTAACTGCCAAAAACAAAGGAATGAAATTAGATGAAGTCTGAAGAAAGAACTACTAACTTTATTGCCACTAGATGTTTGTTGTGTGGATAAATAGATACTGACAAAACATATGTTCTAGACCAGGGGTGCCCATAAGGTCGATCGCGATGTCCTGTCTTCTCTGGATGCCTGCTGCTCTCCCTCATCTGTATGCAGCGGGGATCCGAGGAAAAGTGAAGCTGCAGGCGGCGCCGGGGGGGGAGTTGGGTGACGGAGCCGCTATCATAGCAGCACACCGAGTGGTGAGAAGAGAGAGCCACTCGGCTTGGATCTGACAGCCAGCGGCTCTCTCTCTCCTCACTGCACAGCGGCTCCGTCGCCCCTCCCCACTTCTCCTCGGATCTCCCGCTGCCTCTGCCCGGAAGAGCAGGGGGGATCCAGAGGAGAAGTTGCAGCCCCCCTCTATGTGTGGCCGAGCAGCAGAGGATCGGTATATATCAATGATATGTACCAATCCATTGTGCAGGACAAACACTGGAGCGATCAGCTGATCACTCCAGTGTTTGTAAATAACTGGGGACACATAGTACTATGTGTCCCCAGATATGAATGAACACATGGTAGATCTCATTTGAAAAGTAGATCTCCAGGCGAAAAATTGTGGGCGCCCCTGCTCTAGACAATCACATCATTAATGGAATCCAGTAAGTAGAAGCAAAAAGAAAGAAAAGAGTGCCTGGGCACCATGACACGCACAGAAGTGCCCTGCTCTCTTTCTTATTGGACTTGTGGATGTGCCTAAAATTCTCCCCCCCCCCCCCCAATGGAGAATGGCAACCAGATGGTGGGGGTGGCAGGGTTGGTTTTCATTTTTCAAATTTTTTATCACTTTTTTACTTTTTAAAATGTTTATTTTTCTTACTTTTTTATTTTATTATTTTTTACTTTTTCATCACTTTTTTTATTTTAATTATTTCTTAATATTTTTTACTTTTAATTCTATGTTTATTTCACTTAACTTTATTGCTATAACACAGGAGCTAACAAGCCCCCGTGTGATAGCATTTGGAGGTGACTGGTTCTGTTTATTGAACCTGTCACCTCCAATACAGGAGTGTTGGAGGTGACAGGAGTTGCAGCACTGTGCTGGAACTCCTGTGACAGCTGAGATAGGAAGGCTGCGAATGCAGCTCTCCCGTCTCAGTGTTTACACAGAACAGAGTGGAAAATGGACATCTACTAATAAGCCTAAGACTTACAGGTCTTAATACATACAGGGGTATGGAATTCGACATGCAGTTTTCGGGCGGCAGGCAGGTGTTTTTTTTCTACATTTAGCCCTGCTTCGGGAAAGCAACAGGGCTAAATGTAGAGCAAGTGAGCTTTTTTGTACAAGTGATAATTGATATAAAGTAAAAAAAGTAATAAAATAAATAAAACATGCACAACGTGCATTAAAGGGTTCACTTTCCCATTTTGGGTAATTAAATTTGGGAAAATGTAATTACCCGCTTAATTCTTCTATACTTACCTTTCGGCAAAAGTCCTTCCCCTCCACCGGCACAGCTATACTATCTGTACCCCATACTACCGTCCAGCTCAGCCTTGCACTATGGATTTTAAATTTCACGCAAATTGCGAGCACTTGTTGTCAGCGCGGTCAGCTGACCATTAAGAAGTGCTTCTTAGTGCGGTTAAATACGGTTTTGGTTAAAATTATTTTTACTCACTTTTCCCAACAGCGGGCGTTGGTTACTTTAACTCTGTTCCCAACAATCCCCTGGGCTCCCATCATTCTCTAGACTCTGGAACACACCCAGTGGATATAAGTTCCAGCTCATCCTTCCCTCCGATGCTCATGTGCCTGATGGGAAAAGCCGCAACGTAAAGCACAAAAGCATGCAGATTCTATATATGTCCCAGTCACTGTGGGGGACCTTGTGTCAGCAGACATTGGGGTACTGCCCGTACAGTGGGATGGTCTTGCCCACAACCACCGTAACCTCTTGACCAAAGGGTGCCTGTGTGGAGACTGCCAGGAAATCCCTGCAGCCAGCTACATTAGCTATCAGAAACAGCCTGCCTCCAAGTGAGAGAGGTGTGACATCCCCCTCCCCCAATCAAGTTTGCAAGCTTGTTTCTCTGTACTCTAGGAGGCTAGTGTAATGTATTGCCTCCTAGTGGGCATATGTGGAACCATCTCTATCATTTACATGACTGGAATAGCTTCATTGATTGTATTACTCTGCTCCATATTGATCACCTACTCATTTATCTTTCCCTCTGCGTTCTATGTTTACCTTGCATTTATTCAGTAAACACCAAGTTCTACTTTGCGGTTTGTCTATTTTGGCTGATAGCATTACACAACATACGTAATGTCCTATTTGTCTTTGTTCTCAGTATTTACAAACATGTCTAGAGAGATAACATGTTTCCTGATTTTTAATTGCAGTGTATCATTTAGCCAAATCCGCATCCCCACCATCCACTGAGAAGGGTTCTAACATTACTTTCTCAAATAAAAAAAATAGAACCTATAAATATATAAACTCATAAGTAACAAATGTAGTCTCTACTTACAGAAAAAGATTCTCCATAATATAATGGTAATCAGGGCAGCCACTGTCTGGGAGAAAACAAGCAGCAAATACAATGATAGCATTTAGCCCCTCGCCATAATATCCTGCACACAAAAGAAAAATAACTCAGTTAGTCCCAAAAGACTACAAATGGTTACAAATTTTAGACACAGGTGCTATCAGTGACAGGCTTTACCTCCATGTGTGACCACTTTCATATATGGTTTTATCATTTGTAGGTCAATACGATGCTCCTGCTCTCCAATAACAACTGTTCTCCACAGACGTCCATTTGTAGCTTCCCCCTCTTCAACGTCTTCACCATCAGATAAGACAGCGCTGTACCCAGGTATTTTCTTGGAATTTGCAACAGGCGTGTCATCTGAAACAAAAAGAAAAAATATTATAAATAACATCATTTTGAATGAATATCACAAATAGAATTATAAGAAATAGAAAATAATGGTAGTGCTGTGCAGCCACAAATGTTTCCATTAGGAAAAGTAACAACTGCACTCTCCAGCTCCTATAGTGTAAGAGGACCATCCAGAAAATCCGATCCTTGGAAGCCATTTGTGGTATGCTAAAGCTGTTTTGAAATGGTTTCAAGTGCCTCTGAGAAGTAAGTTATATGGACTGGTAAAAGCTGAACCATTGTTATCCATAACCAAGCCTACCATTGTTTTCTCTGATTGAGACCTAGCAATTTGATAGCAAGCCAGCAAACATACCTTGAAGGTACCATTTTGCTCTGTGAAGCTGTAAAAGTGTTAACATGCTTAAAAATAGTAGTTTGTAACTGGATATGAGCCAAAAAAAGATTAAATTTTTACAGTCTATGGGTCAGCCTCTGCCCTGTTTGAATTGTTACCCCCAAAAGAGATTGATCAAAGATACCCTGTGCTTCAATAGTTACAGAATGCACATAGGGAATAAAAGTCACCATGTGCAGAGACAATCTGCTGTCAATCCTCAACAGAGAGTTATACATTTTAGAGCAACAGGTATAATCTCTGTTAAATGGGTGAACCATAAGCCAGAGAGTAGCCTTAAGATTAGCACTAGGCTTAGGGTTACTGTTGGGGTTAGCGTGTATTGTTACAAGAACTGTGCCAAGATAGCTCAAAGAAGCTTCCCTTACCTTCAGGAGCCATGTAAAGCTCTTAAAATAAAACATGAAAAAAAACTCAAATTGGCCTTAATTTTGACTACAGTGTATTTTTTACAAAAGTATCCCCAATTGGTGCCAACACTTCAGTGAAGCAAAAACTCTCAATTCACTTTATCTCTAAAAAATAACATGCACACTACAATGACAAAAAGTACACAAATATCCCCCCATACGTTCACAGTACTGTAGACACAACAGTTTATCTTAGAACGATCCCTTTGCCTTGTGTCAGCAAAAACTGTAAATACTGTTTAGCTGCTGGTACCCTCCTTCCAGCCTTTTTCTGTGTTGTATTGTCTTCTTTTAATTTCCTTTAATAGTTCTCTTTATTTTATTTTCTTATAGGGTGAAAAATATTTTTTTTTATACAGCACTCTTTTTTTCGGGGGGGTGTTAGTGTTTTAGGGTATATATTTTTAGGGTATCTTTTCTTTTCTGTTGTTAAAGCCTTGTTGTTAACATAAACATTTTTAGCTGCATTTCTGTATGCAGCACACTGATGTGGAGTAAACTATTGTGCACCAAAGCACCACACATTCACCCCTATTAGTTTTAGTAAGGCCCCATTCACACACGAATCGGCCTGCATGTACAGCTCCATGCTGCGTGCGGGGCCGTACCAAGCAGCTGCCGGGAAGGACAGGTGCTGCGTGTGATTAGTACGCAGCCCCCGTCCTTCTCTATGGGGCTACGCGGCCATACGCCCCCCTACGTTCACTTCAATTGCAAGTCCGTAGGGGTGCGGGTGAGCATATTCATACGCCCCAGGAATGGATCCTGTATGCGCCCCGGCCAGAAAACCTGCACCCCTACGGACCTGCAATTGAGGTGAGCGTAGGGAGGCGTATGGCCGCGTAGCCCCATAGAGAAGGACGGGGGCTGCGTACTAATCACACGCAGCACCTGTCCTTCCCGGCAGCTGCTTGGTACGGCCCCGCACGTAGCACGGAGCTGTACGTGCAGGCTGATTCGTGTGTGAATGGGGCCTAAAGGTTAGCAATTAGCAAAGGAGCCTTATTTGATCATTCAAACCATCTTGGATTTGCTGGAGGAGGAAGATCTGTGTGACGCATAAGTCTTTCTTGTGTCTGGTATCAAGGTAGATAACAGAATGACCAGAGAGGGAGATGGTCTGTCAGAGCTGCTACAGACAGGAGACTTGAGACAGGGAGCTGCAAAAGGAAATGATGTTACAGCAAATGAAGCTTACTGCGAAGCGGCTCCAGCCATGCTAATACATCTAGTGACACTGCCTCACAGGTACAAAATGCTGCAATTCCCAGGGCTGGTCGACAAAGCTTGGAAGTGTGTAGCTTTAATGCATAGCTTACTCCACGAAAGCTTCAGCCAGGCAAAGTTGAGTGTGACAATGGAATTAATCTGCTGGCCATCTTTGGTCAGGTAAAAACCCCTCATATGCCTAGCCTATGTCCTAAACCTTGGTTTCCAAGAAATGCTTTGTCACTTCATCAGCTCAGGAGAGTTTTTGAACTCTTTTTGCAATTTTCGATTTATGTTTTGGAACTTCCAGTTTCTCAGCTGTCATTCCCCGTTTAGAGAGGCCATAGAAAAAGCTGATCAAGCATGATCTGTGCTTGATCAGCTTCAGTTGGTTGCAAAGGTGACATTTAGGGCCCATTTTCACCACATCCAGATTACCTCCAGATCAGACCAGACTGTTTCTAGACCCAAAATGCATCCCAATGTATCCCTATGCTATTTCTGGCCTCTGTTCCCACCAGCGAGGTCCGTTCCAGACCAGACCAGAAAAATACTGCTTGTCCTATTTTGTCTGGTCTGGAATGCACTGGAACGCATCCAAATGCATCAAAACCGCATGGAACGCACTGGAACACACCTGTAAGACCATTTTAAAAAACGCAATGCACTATGTTCCAGATCTTTGACGTGTTCAATTTTAGGTCTTGCTGGGGGACCTTTGCAAGACCTACAGATAGCCAGGAAAAGAGCAGCACAATGCTTGCACATAAGAGACATGAACTTACCACAGTTGTTCTTTTCAGAGCTGCTCAAATGATCATATCCAGGGACAACCTGGGCAGCAATGCCTCTCCACTTGTCCATCTTCCTATTATTGTTCTTATATTGCCCATATAATTATATCATGGTTCCTATCTTCACAAATCTCTCTCTCCACAGAAGTCCAGTGGCGATGAGATCATCCAAACCAGCCCCTCCCCAAAAAAATGTTTTTTTCCCATTGGGCTGCGTTCTGAACTTAGGACAAGAAGAGCATACAGAAACATTGGGATGCACTTTAGGTCCAGAAACAATCTGGTCTGGAGGTGGTGCGAATGGGCCCTTCAGGCTGGGCTCACACCATTTTCCGGACCATATCAGGAACATAGTGCAGTGCATTTTTGCTGCGCTTTTACTGCAATTTGAATTTTTTTTTTCTCTTTTCTCATTTTTTTTTTATAGCTTAAATGGTCTTACAGGTGCGTTCCATGCGTTTCAGTGCATTCCGGACCAGACAAAATAGGACAAGCAGTATTTTTCTGGTCTGTTCTGGATTGGACTGCGCTGGTGGAAACAGAGGCCAGAAAAAGCATAGGGATACATTGGGATGCATTTTGGGTCCAGAAACAATCTGGTCTGGTCTGGAGGTAATGTGGATGTGGTGTGAATGGGCCCTCAATGATGACCTGTTAAAGCTTTTAAAGCGTTGCCTATGGACATTTTTGGGTACCCGAGTTTTTTTGCCATTTCACGGGAGCATGCAGTTTTGAAGTTTGACGTGTATTTACTCAGCACAAACTCTTTTACATTTTACAAAAAAATGGGTAATGTATTGTGTATAAATGCACTATAATTAGTAAAGTATTTTTAGTGAAAATTTGGGTTTGATAAACAGTTGCGCTAATATCATGCGACATAAAAAAATGCAACTTTCATTTTATTCTATGGGGTCTCTGCTTTCAAAAGCATATTTGGGGGGGTTAAATAATCTTTTGGCCTAAAATGTGCATTTTAACATGTTTGCAAAAAACGGCTCTGGCGGCAAAACGGTTAAACATGTCCTGCACTTTTTGTCATTTGTAACCTACCTGATTATCTTTTTTTCTGCCTTAAAAGCATGTTATGGCTTCCACTCCATTGTTTACCTCAGGTACTGCTGTTATTTGGACCAGAAATAGTTTAACATAGAAAGCAATATATCATTGTGTACAGATCTAGACACACCTTCCCATTCCAGGTCATTTCCATTGGCCAAATACTCCAATGAATCTGTTTCATCTGGAGTCTCTATATCATCTATATTGATGTCCAAGTCATCAGGTGCATCTAGGAAGTCATCAGAATGCAGGGAGCCTTCGCTCTGATCCAAGGAGATATTAATGTCTGGAGCTACAAGTGTTTTTTTCTTGTGATGGGATTCACATGTGGTCAGGGATGCTAAAAGAAATATATAAATCAATATTAAATATTCAAACAGGTTTTTAAAGGATATGAACTAATTTGTATTAACTCATACTTACAAGAGTTTAAGTCGTCCCCTATGTTACCACCAAAGGAGTCCATTCCAGTATTTTCTGGAGGAGGCCTGGTAAATAGGAACAATTCTGTTTTTATTAAGAGGAAATACAACATGCTTTTTAAAGCAAGACCTTTGGATACTGTTATTTGGTTTTGGCCATGAGCAGGCACACGCTCTGAGTGCTCCATGCCTGGCTGAGGATTACTCTCAGGGAACCACTTTTATAATGTGGAACCGGATCTGAACCCAGGGCCTCTGCTGTAGCTGGCGGTCGTTCTACCTGCTGAGCCTTGGATAGCTCCTTGCCTGATCTCCTGCGTAATCCTCAGTTAAACCTAATTTCTGCTGAACTCTGAACTCCTTGCTCCTCCCTTGAACTTCCTATTTAAGCCATGCCTCTGCACTTCCTGTTTGCCAGATTATTGTGCTCCTGCCATTATCTTGCTTCCTGCTCCCTCTGTGCTACAATCTACTCATACTGCTACCCGTGTACTGACCTTTGGCTGCTGATTCACCGACTGCTCTCACCGTCTCCTGCTACATACCTGATACCTTTGGCTCCTGACCTTGGCTTGTTTGCTGACTACGCTTCTGCCTGCTCCTCTACTATTACCCTCTGCTTGTGTACCAAACCCGGCCTGTTATACTACAAATTGCCTGCTGCTTCAGCTGCTGGACTCTGAGCCTGATCCCAGATCGTGACAGTGTCACAGCATTCCCACTGATCTCTTTCACAAGACCTGCAGGAATCCTCTGAGAAAGGTGAGTCACTTACCTTCCATTATGCTGCCAGGATTGCACCTAGCCGAGAGAAATGCGCAGCCACTTCTCCTGCCTCTCTGCCTGACTACTTGCTCTCAATGCAAAGTGGCTGGGAAAGAGACTCCCCAGACCACAGTGACAATGACACAGAGGAAGCAGAAATATATTGCCTCACTTTCAAAAAGATGACAATGAAGCCTGATTCCATATACTGGAAGCTGTGGATAAGCAGGACATAGATAAACTCTGTGAAGGCCTCTAATCCTTTTATCATCAATTAGATGAGGCTTAAACACCCCTCCCACGGGTAACTGATTTCCCCAAAGCCCCAGAGAAAGTATAATGCATCCACAAAGCCTTCTAAAAAACAACTAGCATCCTCATTCCACATTTATTTTGTTCACTTCCTGTGGTCTATCATCGCCTATGAAATTCTTCTTGGAAACCTGTACTGAGAGAAATATGGGACTTTCTATGCTGAGCTTAAGCCACTGACTTAGAGCACCAAGCAAAAGGAAGTCTGAGTAAAGTCCAGCTCCAAGTCTCCATGAAAGCTAGGCAACTAGCATTTTCAGAGGGAAAAGTCAGTAATGACAGCCTTTATATTTACCTCCGTTCAGGTTTACTTTAAACTGAAACGTCTGCTATAATTTTATGCTAAAATGAATTCCCCACATGCACTGGCATTTACAATATTTGAACTATATCAACCCCTATAATCTACTTTTTTTTTGCTCTTTAACCCCTAGGTGAAGCTTTAGAAGTATTAATCTAATAAAGGCTAGTTACAATAGTGTCTATTTTTTCTTAATCATTGAAGAGGTTATTTTTCTTGTATAAAAACATAATTACAAGTCAATTTTAACAAAATGTTTATACAAGGCCCCTTTTACACAAACACCATTCGTCCAATCAGCACACATCACTTGCTGATTAAATCAGCATAGAACGGATGTCACTGCACACACCTATGTTAAAGGAGAACTATGAGGCGAGTGCTTTTCACTCACCTCATAGTTCTAGCCGACCTGTGACAATGAAACTGTCACAGGTCGGCTCAGTAGATCGGGAGGTGAGCGAACACATACCGGCGTTTGCTGACTTCTCGATCGTGTGACGGCAGAGACGGGAGGGACTGGATTCCCTGCTCCGATCCTCCAGCACTGACTGGCGGAACGGACAGGGAAGGGGCGGGTACAGCTGGCTCTGCCTCTAGATAGGCAGAGCCAGCTGTCACTCACGCAGCTGGGCGTATGCAGACATAATTGTCGGGATCCGTTTCAGCTGCGGCGTCTCAGTATACCGTGAGCTGTAGCTCGCGGTATACTGAGCTTAGGGTGACGGGAGGACGCTAGTTTGTGTCCCCCCGTTACCCTAAGGAGAACTATGGGGAAAAGCTCTAACCCCATAGTTCTTTAAGTCTATGGGGAGTCAGATGTAAGTGGACAAGTGTCCGTTTAAATCAGATTACTTCCAACCCCATCACAATCAGGTCCGCCAAATCAGAATTCTGTTCCGTTTGTTTTTCTGGACATAGACGGAGTTGGGGTTAATCGGATGTTAATGGATGCATGCCCATTTAGACCTGGCTGCCCATAGAGTAACATTGGCCTTCTGATCAGGTAAAAACTAACGAGTTGACCCGATTGGACCGGCCATGTGAAAGGGGCCTAACAAGTGTTTTGGAGACAGCTTTTCATCCCTTATTCCATTTAATTGAGCATTACATACTGTAGTTACATACAGTATTTAGGTTGTCCATCCATCAAGTTCAACCAGCTTTTTTTCATCCCTAGACTAAAAAGAGCACTTAAAGTCCATTTCCATCTTTTAGCTTTTTCGTTAACTTTTTTTTATCTTTATTTTTTTAAACTTTTTAATCACCTTTTTTTAAAAAATTTTTTTAATTTAGTTACTTTTTTTTATTGATTTTTATAAAAAAAAATTTCACTGAACTTTATTACTAGCTAACAAGCCCCTGTGATAGCATTTGGAGGTGGCAGGTTGTCTTTATTGACTGTCAACTCCAATACAGGAGTTCTAGCACAGCACTGTGCTGGAACTCCTGTGACGGCTGAGGGGAAGACGGCACTCCCCTCTCACTGTGTACACTGAGCGGCAGGGGTACTTTTAACCCTGCCGCTCTGCTCCCTGCCTCGGTGGCCAGTGAGGAGAGAGACTCGGGGGGAGGACGGAACCAAAGGAGAGAGGTAGGTGTAAGCTGCACACATTTTAAAAGTGATTGCGGCAACATCACTTGTAAATGAACAAGTGGCTTCTCCACACTACATTTAGTCCTGCCTTCCCAAAGCAGGACTAAATGTAGAAGGCAACTTGGCGCCCGGATGTTCCGGGCATCGGGATTCCACACTGCTGCCGCCCCTCTGCGCCCTGCCGCCCCGAGGTCTGGCCTTGGGGGGGAATCCGGGCCTGGGTGCAGGAGTTATGTGTGTGTATTGTCAGGAGTCACAGGCCTGTTTTTATATTTTATTTAATGGGCTCTTTCACAGGCCACAGGATCTTCAATCCCTCTGTGAGGGTGGGGTTGTTATCTGTAAACTGCAATCAGCTGATTCCTCTCTGCTCTGCTGAGCTCAGCGTGCTGACCCATTCCCTGCACGTGTGTGTTCCCTGCACGTGTGTGTTCCCTGCACGTGTGTGTTCCCTGCACGTGTGTGTGTTCCCTGCACTTGTTGTGTTCTGTAGACTTTCTCTCCAGGGCCAGGACTTTCTCTCTGCTGCCCCAGGGCCAGGTTCCTCAATGTGCCCCCCTCTTACCAATTACTGTTAGAACATTAAAAAACATATTGGGGGGGGGATTTATCAAAACTGGAACAGAGAATCTGGAGAAGTTGCCCATAGCAACCAATTAGCTTCTCTCTTCAGTGTGTTCAGTTACTATTTGAAAATGAAACAGAGGCTGAGTGGTTGCCATGGGCTACTGCTCCAGATTTTGTCTGCTCCAGTTTTTATAAATTCCCTTCACTGTGCTGTGTCACCGGGGATGTGCGGGGTCACCGGAGATGTACGGCGGTCACCGGAGATGTGCGCGGCATGTCGCCAGGGCTGTGCGCAGCATATCGGTGCATCCCCAATTAAAGATCTTTATCTGGGTTTATAATAAGGACACTGTGGATGAGGTAGTTGAACATCGGTGGGGGGGTATATCAGTGTCACAGCGCGGTGTAAATCACATTATATACATATTGACCAGGGACAGTGCAGAGTGACCGGGAGATGTTTATGTTGCCTGTAACTACAGTTGGAGGAAGAAATCTGTTATATTTTGTTCTGAGCGATTACTGGAGACAAAATAATAACGGATTTCTTTAGCAATCACTGACAACAATCCTCCAACTGTAGTCACGGGTAAAAAGAAATCCCCCAGTCACTCTGCACTGCCCAGGGGGTGGTACCACTATGAATATTAATGAATGCATGTGCACGAGGGAAGCAAAGCATTGTGGGAAAAGGAGTTTTTTAAGCACTACATTGCAGTTTCCACTGTACACAGCAGCCTGGCTGTCATTTAAAAAAAACAACATGTGGAGCCTGAAAGGACAACTAAAAAAAGTAAGTTTTTTGTTTTTATGTCCAGTATCTGCATATGCCGGCATCATCTACACACCATGTACATTGCTGGAATATATGTTTTTTTTTAAATGCTAGGCAAAGGTGGAAATGGTCTTTAACCCTTGCAGTGCGGGGGCCCCTCCTTGCTCATGATGGGTGGCCTTAGTGGCCAGTAAGAAAATTCAGTTAGCAGAAGGAGCATAATGTACTGGAACGCAGGCACAAAAACTTTAATTTAAATACATTTTTCATCAGCCAGGGAGGATAAAAATTCACCTTGTGAGCACCAAATGTGTAAGCAAACCAATTTATTACCTTGTAAAAGAAGTAGTGATATAATTACTGTGCTTCACTTGTTTCTGCAGAGAGCAGAACTGTTGGTGGGATTCAGCACACCCACCCACTACAGGCTACGTGCAGAAAACTACAAGAAGGAGGCAGATACAAGACCAGTCACCCTGCAAAGGGTAGAAAGCAGCAGAAACTAGTCTTTACTACAAAAAGCTTCAGCACAGCGACAAAGGGGTGTAGAGGTGTGTGGCAATGCCACAATGTAATTTGGCAACTGAAGCACCCAGAGCTCTGTCAGAATGGTCGGCCAAGGAAACCCATTCCATGAAGCACTGTTGTTGTGCCAATCTGAAGGCCACACGAAGTTTGGAAGTCTGTAGCTATTGACTCTGCAGACAGTTGGCGACTT